TTACCATAATTCATCTCATGTCCATAAAAAATTTAGTAAATTTACTGATAAATAGATGCAAATTTTCCCATTGAGTTGTTCGTCGACCTCTCTCTCTCTCCCTCTCTCCCTCTCTTTCCCTCCCTCCCTCTCCCCTTCTCTCTTTTGATCTTTTATCTTTCAGAAAGGTCATCTAGGGTAATCAAAAGGGTACCTTTCGTCATTGTCAAAGAAGAAGGGTTCAATGGTTTCTCTAGAGTCAAAGTTTAGAAACTTGTTTAAAACAGGAAAGGGACAATCAAAAAGAGGATTGACCAAGCATTTTCCTTACATTTCTCATCTCCTGCGTGATAGGTTAAAAGTTTGCGTCTTGAACAAAATTAAAATTTAAGATTTAATTTAAATGATTAAACATTTATGAAACTTAATTAAAAATTAAAAATTTAACTTTCAAACTCTCCATTTGTCCTCCCTCTCCTTAAACTCCTTTGATATATCAAATATATATATATATATATATAATATATAGAAAGAGGGGAAGGGGGAGAGAGAGTAATTTTGTGGGTGATATTTATCCTTTTCCATGTGGTAACGTGCCATTTTATAATCAATGTTATTTTTTTCCTTCTAATGACTTCAAAGAAAAAAGAAAAGTAATGTTATAGGTATTATTGCTTGGCAAAGTTTAATTAGTTCACAAAAATAACTTAATATTTCGACCGGCTGTTTTACCATACTTCATATTATTGAATATTTTCATGCTAAATCAACATGTTAATTTTTTTTTTCATTTTAAATTGCCTATTTTATTAAATGATATTTTAAGTTGTTTATCTATTATTAACTTTTGAAATTGAAAAGGATATTTTTTAGCATAAAAAAATGAGTTGGATTGTAGGATTTACTCATTTCTAAGGCTGAAAAAAGGAAAATAATAAGTTATTTGAGTAGTCAACAATACAGGATTCAACATATACCAACATTTACGGTGCTTGTTTGGAAACGTTATTTTTCAATAATTTTTAGTTTTTAATTGAAAAAATATCTTTATATGTTTCTAGATTACTTTACTATGAATTTCAACAGAAAAAGCAAAAATAAATGCACATAAAGTTGTAACTAATAGTATATCTGTAAATAATTTAAAATATTGTTGGACAAATATATCACAGATATTTTAATTGCATTTCAATCTTATCGTTAACTAATTAAGAACGTAAAATCCTAAACTTACCCTCAATTTTTTATTATTTTACAATTTATTTACTTTTATTAATCAAAATTAAATTAGAGTTTAAAAATAAATAAAATTATACTTTTAGATTGGAATCAAAATTATGTTGGAGAACAGGACATCAAGAACTAGGTTTTAAAAATTTTTAATAACTTATATAAAGATAATTATATTTAATAACTTATATAAATTATTAGTAATTTTTTATTTTATCATTTTCTTATCTTAATAATATCAAAATTATATCTACAATTAATCCACGAAATTTTGTTCTATACTTACATATATCACTTATCAAAGGAATGAACAATTCAGTTAATTATTTTAACATAATAAACAATTATTATAATTTTTTTTACTAAATATCTATTTACTACTATACTTTTGCCACTTTTTAACTATCAATATTTCTTAATACTCCTTTAAAAATAATAAATCCCAGAAGCAGACATATACTCAAACATCAATAATATAAATTACAATCAGACTTCAACATATAGATTAAAATGATAATTATTAATAACAGTAGGACATAGTGATAGTCCTAAAGAGTATAAATTTTTAATATAGTTTAATTGGTTGCTATTTTTAATATAGTTTGGAAGTTTAATTGGTTACTATTTATTATTTTTCAAGTTATTTATTTAAATAAACATTTTTGGAGGCAATTGTCAAGAAAAAGTCAAGCAAGGTAACTTCAGCGTTGCAGTCCACAGTCAAATTCAATAGATGAAATCAGTCCAACAATTTTACCAGAGTCATGGCATGTCTGTACAAGCCCAAACCCCTCAGGACTAATACGAAAATGCAAAGAGGTAAAGAGACAGAGGAAGAGGACAAGGTTGGAAATAGGGAGACAGTCGAGAGTTTAAAGGGAAGTTGGCTGGAGATTTTAGCATTTACTGAAGAAGAAACGCCGAATTTTCCACCATTGGACAAAACCTACTTTGCGCTTGAAAAAATCAGAAGCTACAGCACCATTCATTTATGTTTTAATTTATCTATTGATTCTAGAACTCAAAATTTAATTCTCCTGTTTGCAAAATTGATTAAAATGAACTTCCGGTTGTTTCTCTTTCTAAAAGTAAGCCAATTCTACCATTCTATTATTCCAACAGAATTTAGCAAGTAATTTGGTTTTTGATTAATTTTTCTGGTTAGGTCAAGCATGTCAATTGTTTATTTGATTTAGTGTTTAATACTTTTCAATTACTTGAACAACAATTAAAATGTAAATATTAAATTGAATTTTGGAAAGAGAGATTTGATTTGTCCTAAAGTTGAAACTTATATTTGATTTAATTAGAAAAATGATTAAATTGATTCATGTAGAATAAGAATATTATATGCTCTCCTCAAATAGCTAAATTGAAATTTGATTAATTTCAAATTATATAGAAATATAGTAATTTGATTTTAGTTAAGTATGTTTATAATATTTCAAGAGAAAATTATAAATAATTTAAAATTTCACATTAACAATTTCAACTTATTTATAAAGTAGAGAAATTTTGAAGAATTCTACATGAAGTGTTAAAGAAATTGTAATCCTCGGATTCTTTCAATCAAGTCTTTCAGAATTGTCATATATAGTATCGAATATTTTAATTTATTTGTTTCCAATTTTCGTTCATTATTCTTTAATTTAATTGATTCTTTCAATATAATTGAATTGTTTTAAGTTTAGTAAATAGTGAAAAAAAAATTTCCCCTAAAAAAATAGTGAAAAGTTTTTGGTTAATTTCTTATTGGAATGACCCCACTTTAGTGCAATTGCAATACATATACCTGTGTGTAAAAATTAGATAACACCGTATTAACCGCTCTTACAATATATATTTCAGCAAGTAGTAGGAGTGATCAAGTTTCAATTTTTTTTTGATTTTTTCATAAAATTATACTGTAACAATTATTTCATTTTTTTTTTGTTAAAACCAAAATCATACTTTTTGATACCAATACTATTACTTTGATTTTGGTATGGTTCAGTACAGTTTTTATAATTTTTTTATAGTATTTAAATAAACTAAAAAATGTTTACAAAATCACAAAAAAAATTCTTGTAGTATATAACTAATATGAAAAATCAAATTATCTCAAAATTATATAATATTATTAATTCCTTACATTTAAATATTTAATTTCAAAACTTTCATTAATAACTATTTATAACTTTATATTCTCGATCTCATAATATATTAAAAATAAATTAAAAACTGTATAAAAATAAATTAAAATTAAATTTTGTTTAATCAAATTTAACACGAAATTTTTAACCAATTTAATTAATAACCTGCCATCATTAGAGGATATACATATAAATACTTTAATTAATAACTTTTAATCTAATTATTTAGAAGTTTAATACTTTTATATATAATATGAATAATTTAATAAATTATTGTGTATAATATATTGGCATACTATAGTTTAAATTTTATTTTTATTTTTCTTTAAATATGTATTTGTTATTTGTTATTATACACATTTTTTCTATTGATAGTTGAGATATAAAATTCAATAATTTCTATTTTAAAAATTAAAATTTAATTCTCAATTATTTGTATTTATTTGGCAATGGTAATTTTTTTTAACTTAAGATTTTTGAATAAAAAAAGTTCAATATTTAGTTCAAATTTCTTTACATATATTTTTCTTCATTTAATTTTTTTAGAACTAATTTTAGTTTTGTTAAGTGAAATTCTTTATTTATTTATAATAAAAAAGTATATTTAAGAATTTTTTTAATTAGGGCTTTCTATGTATTAGGTAATTTATAAAATTTAAATTAGGTGATAAATTAGTAAGTGATTACATTATAATATAAATTTGATATTGAAAGAAAAAAAGTAACCTCATTCTCTAATAGATGTATAAAAGTTTAAAAATTAGTTTTAAGAATATAAAATATAGATTAAAATTTTTTTTACACTTTAATCCATAATATTTACACTTTTTTTATATAAATACTTAATCTTTTAATTTCTTTAATTTAATGTTGAATTGTAGTTAATACTTAAAAATTTACTCATTTTGTATATGATATAAATAATTTAATAAATTATTATATATAATATTTAATTTGATATAATTTTTTTATCAATTTTAAATTTATAAAATTAAAACTAAATTAAAATATTAATAAAATATTATTTAATACCAAAATTTATAAAAAATTTTATTTTAATGTAATTTAGTTCTATAAGATTTTCAAAACCATAACCATCCTGACAAGTAGGGGCTGATGCCATCGCACCGTATACATTACACGTGCATGTGATTGTCTCAAAGGTGAGTACCTAAGCCTACCACAAAATAGAGTACAACACTCGAGAGACCTTCTGCCAGGTCGGACAGCTAGCATAGCTACGAGGGGTGTAAGGTAGTCTGCCCCTAAGAACTTGCCCTTTCGGCCTTTTTTGAGCATAGAAAATTTTGAAAAAGCCAGAATTCTGAATATCAGCTTTTGATTTTAAGATTAGAAACTGCAAAATATTGATATTTGACTTTTTCGTCTTATTACACTTAGAAGTCGGATACATAGACTCAAAAGCCAAACTACCATACACCTCACTAGGAAGATGACGCTGCTCTGACCTCCATTAATCTCTGGAACAAACACACACACTAAACATAATTGTATATATGGCACTAGAGGCTGTCATGGGCATTACCCAACTCTTACAACAATCACATGTCAGAAGCCTAGCTTATCATGAGACGGCAGTGAACGTTCTGGGACACACGATTTAGGGACCTTTTGTTTCCAATGGCTTTGATTATCTTCTCACTGTCCCAATCGGTATGGACCTTCGCCCATGTAGTGCCCGCCCATGTAGTGCCCGTCCATGAAGAAGGCTGAGTTCTGAGAATGGTAGCCGTCCATCACCATGAACTGCATGTCCTCTGATGGTTTCCAGTGTCGCTTCCTTTGGTTGATGAACCAGTTGTTGATCTGTTTCTGGTCCAAGCCAGTTGATTCGGCCAACGCCACCTTCTCAGCTTCCTGCGTGATTGTCAAGACAAGCCGCTTTTATTTAGATAACGGTGTAGGAAGAATATATATTTAAGGTACAGTTAGTGATTACGGGTTTTTACGTTTAACCGAATGAATCATAACACGGGCTGCTTGGTTTGGTCCTGTAAAAAGGTATTTACCAAAGTTCGGATTTTGTAGGGGTTGTTTGGTTTCAGATAAGAAAGATTGACTAGTTCAAAAAAGCACAAAAAAGTCCCAAAAATCAAGGCTTAAGCAAAACCTGGATTCTTGGGATTTTCAGCAAAAAGGTGGGCGTTTTCTCAGCGTATAACATGGAATTGATCTTCATAAAGATGGGCTACTTTGTTGTTAATCAAACGTGAAAAACGCAAAACCAAAGCATATAATCAAAGAAATAATGTACCTAAAAACTTTTGGACTTCTCTATTTCATAAGAAAACTTGATTTTTTAAAAAAGTTTAGAAATCAAACAATCCAAATTACCCTATACAAAAATACCATCCGAGAAACTTCTGAACGCCGTTTCAAGGGAGGTTTGAGAAGATCATAGGTTTGCAAGTATAGGCATACCGAAGGATAAGGCCATTTATAGTGCAACTCCCACCAATTGAGTAGCTTTTGCCTGGCTTCTTTGGGCAGTTTGCCTTTCTTCTTCTTCTTGGAGAGCTCTTGCTTGAGGCTGCTCAAGTAACCACTGTACTTCCTTAATAGGTGGTTTTTCAGTTCCCGATCTTCAGCACGTGGATCTATCTCAAGCAGTTCTGTCTCTCCTCCGCTGTTATCTTGGTCTTCTTCAGAAGAACCAACTCCTTCACACTTCTCATCTGTGAATTTGAGATTCAAAAGCACAGAATGTAACAATCAATTTCAGGTAAAAAATAAAGTTAAATTCCACCTTCTAGCAACTTTGATACACCCTATACTTACCCTTAATTCATTTTTAGTTTCTTTCCGTTTTTAAATTTTCTTCAGTACAATATTGAAGAGAATGATTCCACACAAATGACATTGCATTTTTAAGTCTCATTTGGCAATGATTTTTAAGTAACTTTCAACCATATATGTGCTCTTATTAGATTTTCTTCCGGGAAGAATATGAACAAAAAGCTACTTATAAGTTTATCCAATCAATCCCTAAATTGTAATGTGCCAACCAAAATACATGAACAGCAGGGATCAATGATTATCACTTTTAATACTTCAGGTTAGTTGCAAAATTTCTTTCTTTTGCATTAATTCAAATAAACCTAGATGCTTCCAAGTTTTAGAAGTTCATACTAGAAAAGATTAGAGCGCTATGAAATTATACAGAACTTCCACCAGCATCAGTGTTAATTGGTTTTCAAGTAACGATCCATCTATCCCAACTCCCCATTTCAACTTACAGCCATTAAATACATGTTATATCAAAGATTAGATTAATTTGTTTTTATAACTGGCAGAGGATTGACATTTGAGATCTAGAAACAGAAATATTCGAAAGACTTCATACATGCCTTTAATCATGTATAAATCTTGAGTGGAAACACAATCATGCATCTATCTTTCTATCCAATGGGGTGGTAACATGACCAAAAAACCTCTGAAGATGTCTTATTGTCTCCTCTAGATTCACATTCTTCTAGTAATTCTTGTTTGTTGAAGCATACCTCGTAATTTGTAGCAACTAAACATTTTTCAGAAAACATTCCCCCCAACCAGAAGACAAAAATATAAAATTTAAGTTTGATAGGAATAAATACAATGCTGAAGATGTTCTCTTAAGAGGCACCTGCATCCAAAAGCTTAATCAGTAATGCTAAAATTGAGGGATGGGTTTTTCACATTTTTAAAATAGTTGAGACTTTCCTTTTCTTTATTTTCTATATAGGAAAAGCAATAAGACCCGAATATTGTACCTCTCTATTTGAGCTTACGTTGCACACTTTTTCCTCCACAACCCCTAGAATTTTTATAAAACAGAAAAAGCTAAATAGGAAAGAAAAGGCTGGGAAATGTAATTCGCGATAAGTTTCAACCAAATAACCTTCAGTCACTTTGAACTCCCCCCGAAACACAAGTAACAAACAAACCAAGAAACATGCATGCACATGTACGAACAGGAGGGGAAATAGCATCAACTTACGACATGCCCCTCATGAACATATGATGTGTTGCTACAAGAAATGAAGTTATGAAAGCACGGGACATCTCGCCTTGCAACAATGAGGATGTCGGCAAATGTACATAAGAAAAATCTTACCGTTTAAAGAAGTCCCGTCCCCGTATTGTATATTCAAGCATGGCAAAGGCAGTTTGAATTGTCAAATGGGACTAATATGACATGACATATGAGAATACACAACAGGACTGGGAAGAAATTAATCAATTTGAATTACATTCAAACTTCAAATGTTGAAGACTGATGTTCAAATTATTAAACAAATATATGTTTTCTGGAACTGATTCAAATGGGTTTTAGTTTAGCAACATTATTCTTGAATTAAAAAGCCAAGAAAACAAAAAACACAGCCAATCCATATGGCATTCAACGAGAAGGTGGTACATGTAGGGGAAAGTAATTATAAACTGCAAACCAGAAAATATGAAGCCTAGCTATTTGACAAGCTGTTAATATCGACCCATAATAAGCAGTTGCTCAGTCAGTGTTTTACTGTTTACAGTCGATGAAAAAATTAGCACGAATAGCAGCTAGATTTTATAATATAACAAACCCAGTAGCCAGCAGTTTATAAGCTTTTTTTTTACTATGGTTAAAAAGCTAGGCTTGAAAGTCACAAGTTAAAACAAAAAGAAAATGAAAAAACCAAGTACTGTACCAACCAATCCTTAGCATATACATGGTAACCAGTAGAGACTGAATTTATTGCCAACTGATATCTTGTTGGTAAGGAGAAGGCTGCAACGAATATTTAAAATTGACAAAAGAAAAGGGAGCAAAATACATGAAAAAACAAGCAAGGAGGCATCAACTCAACCCAGCATCTGTCATTTCGAAGTCAGTATGCACAAGGACACAAACAAATGGAGAACCAGATCTCCTTTATTGAAAGAAGCAATTTCTGTGTAGCGCAAGCATGAGAGTTCATGTCCATGTATAGTCACATATGTAAACCCTAAATTTAAATATGCAGATAGGTTGAAGTATTTTCTCATTTTTCAAAATGTAGTCAACAATTCTCATCAAGAAATAATATTTGTTTTTATTATGGATATGATTGTGAATATATGACTTAACCAAAAATGAAAATCACATTAATTGTCTCATATATTAAAACTAATTCACTTAAAAATAAAAACCAAATAATAACTTGAACATTGACTGTGCAAGGCTTTCAGTCTTGATCCCTGAGTGTACACTCATAACATATGAAGACAACAATGCCACGCTTGGACTGGATTTTTGTGGAAAGTACAGGAAAGACAAACTTTATAAAGAAACAAACATGAAAAAAAAATGAAGTTTTTTGAATCATTAGAAACATGAAATGATAATAAATACGACCAAACAAGAAGAAGACCCAAGTTTTAACACATAAAGAAGGAAAGCTGTTTATTTTATCTGCCACAAGAACAATAAAATGAAAGCAAAAAAGAAAAAACGAAGATTAATTAGAAATTAAGAATATAGAGGAGTAATTACAAATATGAATTGAATAAAATCCCGACAGAGCCGTACGGGCAACATTGGAGAGCACTGAAAGGAACAGCATCCTATGTTCTTCATTTCCTAGGACCTAAATTCCTAGACAACCCACTATATATAGCTTTGCCTAAATACAAATATATAATAAAAGAAAAACTCTTTGCCGACTCAAAAGCAAAGGCAAATCATATTTATGTAAAATATACTTAAAAAATTGAAGGCAGTCTCCAAAATAACAACAAGATTACTCTTTTTAAACCAAAAAGTTCATACATTTGAGTCACATGCATAATCAATATTTCTAAAATGCAAAGTTGGAACTATGCGTTAGAAAGGATAAGATATAATAGAAATATATTATTTTTAACCAACATGATCATTATTTCTGCACACACGTAAATTAGCATTAGTTTGCAAGATTATAGGAAGAGAAGAAAGATTGTTTCATGATTGTGTGTATGTTCTAGCATCTAGACACTCAGATTTTATTCTCCTTTTCCCGTCATTGTTCATCACTTTATAGAATTGATAGGGAACCAAATCATATCTTACCTCTATATTCTTTTTTTTTCTTTTTTTGGTAGCTCTTACCTCTATATTCTATAATAATATATATATTCATCCACTCGTGAATCGTGATTAGGGTTTTGCGACTCGTGAAGAGCTGCCCCCTGACAACCAAACAATCCCTTTACGCAAAAACACACACATTTAGCTCAGGTCCGGGTCTTTTTGGTTAGCTATAGCCTTCTTAGGTTATAGATCAGATTTTCTTCGGAATTTTAAAGCTCTTTCTCAATTCCTTGCAATGAAAATTTGCTTTGCTTTCAAAAAATAATTATGTCATTTCATATGGGTTTATGTTGGATGTGTTTGTATATTTGGCAAAGTTCAAGTTGTCATAATAACTAGTGATATATATATATATATATATATTATTTATTTTATATGCATTTAATAATCGTATATGTAATATAATAGAGAGAACTTCAATTTTAAACAGATAACATATCTCCGTCAAAACTACAGAGAATTCTTGTCAAGATTTCTTCCCTACCGATGAAGGAATAACGAAGTAGATGGTGGAGAGTGTAGCTCGCAAGTGAGTCCTCGTCTTTAGCTATTTTAAAAACTCCTAACAGTTTCTATACTACATTTTAGCATTGTTTGTGACCGCTGCTAAATTCTTCTAAGCGCATTATCCATGATGGGTAAAATTGCAGAGTGTGCCTGCTGACTCTATGTCTCTCTCTACGGCATCCGTAGTGCGAAGAGAGAAAATAGTAATTACCCGAGGGAAAGATCGAGACTGGGCCGTTGTTGAGTGTGTTGAGTTGGGTTTCAACCCTTCGCATGAACTCAGTAGCTTCCTGTAATGGCCTTGTGAGCTCCTCTCTATACTTCACCAGCATGTCGTAATACGCCTCCTGCAAATTGGAGTTCTCAGGCCTCAAATTAAGCACAAAAAGCCACACAGTCAGGCAGCGGAAACAGATTTATTGAAGTGTTTGGGTTTCAAAGGTTGAACAATACAGGGAATTGTTCGCATTTGGACACTGTTTCCATTGTTATCTTTTTGAAATCAGAAAATACTGAAGATTGTTTTCGTATCGCTTTTTCGAGAATTTGGAAAGCTAAATTTTATTCTATTATTCTATTCTAAAAATGAGTCTTCATTTGTAAAATCAACTTGCAAAACATGTTTTTGTTTTTATAACAAAGAAATCGCTTTAAAAAAAATCGAGTCGGCTTGGACTAAGAGGGGAGGAGAGGGAAGGAGAGAGAACTCCGTAGCAACAGAAGGACTTTTACACTTCACACAAGCGATTAGAAGACCAATTAGAAGAAAGAAGTTCAGTGCAAATTAATGAGTTTGATGGGTACAAAATGAACGAATCTCAGTCACCATGAACTGATCGAGTTCCGGGTCTCTTGAAGTTGAAGCATCTCTGCTAGCCATTGAACCTCGTTGCCTCGCCTCAAATTCCTGGCGAACGGCAGTGAGCCTCGCCACCACCTCCGGAGGAGCTCCCACCTAAATTGAAAAAACAATTTTACACAGAACCAACCACAAAGAGAGAGAGAGAGAGAGAGAGAGAGAGAGAGAGCAAATCTTTAATGCAAAAACCATATCTATGATTTCTGTATGTGGGTGTTAAGGAGGACTTAATTAATTACCTTTTGACAATCCATGTAAGCTTCCAACAGATTGGAGTAGTGAGGGTGAGCCATGATCTTGGCCTTTATGGCCTCGACATCACTCCAACCCTCTTCATTCCCTTCTTGATGATACTGATGAAATCTCTGAACATGGTGTGACGATAAAGTTCCCCCTTCAGCCTTCACCATCGGCGAGCCAGAGTAACACTCGCTCGCTTGAAGATTAATGAACCCGCTTACGGGCATCTGAGTCGGGTTGGACCCACTACTACCTCGTGATCCGTACACAGTAACACTAGCAGCAGAAGCTGATAGAGCTGGGGTACCGTACAGGAAGCTCCGAGAGCCAGAGGCCTCGCTTATGTGGCTATAATCCTCCATTAATTTCTCCCAGGACCAGATCAATAAAAAATATAAAAGAAAAAAGCCAAAAAGAACAAAACTCAGATGAGCAGAAGCCCAAAGAAGAAAACTCAGATGAGCAGAAGCCCAAGGAAGAAAACCCAGATGAGCAAAAGATGAGAGAACAAAACCAAAACCCTAGAGCGACGACCCAGAAGAATGGACAACGAAGCAGAGTGGGAAACCCTAGATAGAGAGCAGATTTAAAGCTGCTGATTGTCTGGTTCTAGATGAAGAAAAAACCCACTCCATGGCTGTGTTCAATTGATGGCTTCTAAAGTAAATAACGATTTAGTTTGTAAGAGGAGAGAGCATGTGGGCGTGAATACTATGGGCATGTCAAGAGGGCTAGCGGCGGAGGACGGCGGAGTAACTCGGCCGGGAGGCGGCAGCGGCTCCTTGTCTTCTTGGTAAGTTGACTAGACGCTCTTTTTGTTCAGGATTTAATAAAGAGTATTTTAAAGTTTTTTAATGCAGGAAAGGCAAAGAAACGATGACCAATAGATAAGCTGAAGCCAACCGGCAATTGCAGCCGGATTTGGGGTTTGCATTTTAGGGGTGATAAGGGCGTGTTTGGTTCTACGGACTATCCGCTTTTTGAATTTAAAGATTAACTTTTAAAAAAGTTAAGAAGAATTTCTTTTGTTATTTTATTTCTACAAAAAATTAACAGTAAAAACCTTATAGTTGTTTGTAATTTTTTAAAAATACTATTTTTGATTTAACACGCTCTTCTTTCAATTTTTTATATTGAACTAAATATTAAGTAAAACCAAAAAAATTCCATCAAAATGAGTTATTGGCTAGAATTTTCACTATTTTATTTATGTGTTAAGAATGTTAGTGGAAAAATAAATGGATTTCTATCGATTTAATTTTCATCCTTAACAAAGTAAAAATATTTTTTGTATTTCTGCTTTTACTAATATTCTAGGTGCCTGAAAGAGCATAAATATAAAATTTAAAACTTCATTTTCTGAGCTTTTATAAAATTCCCAAAAAATAAAACCATGGAGTAGTGACGAAGTTATGCATTATCACAGCCCCCATTAAGCTAAAAAAATTACTATTATTATGGTATAATTATTGTACAAAATAAATTTTTACCCCCAAGAAAAAAATTTCAGTCCCTGCAAAAGTCCACATATCCCGCACAGAAAAATTTGTATGAAAAATTAGAAATTTATAAATAAAATTAAAATAAATCCAAAATTAGGAAAATCAACTGAGTGTGTAAAATAAAAAAAAAAAGAATAATATTGAGGAATTGTTTCAAAATGATGATAAATTTAAGATTTTGTTATATGTTAAAAAATTAATTTTAAAATATTTTTTATAATTATTTATTACAAAAAATTTAAAAATACTCTTTGTTACAGAAAAATAAAATATAAAATGTAATTATAATTTATTAAATTTTTCCGTATACTTAACTTTTATTTGTGAGTGCCACGAAGATCTTAACAAGCACCACCTACTTGAAACGATGAAACCAACCGTTAATGCCGCTTGTATGGTAATTTTAGAAATACTAATCCATCCCCAAATTAAGATTTAAATCTGTCATTTAATGAAAAATTATAAGTTGGAACCCACTCAGGGATGGGATAATTAATCCTATCTGCATAGGTTTGATTTATCAAGAAAGATTAACATTAATCCTCCAGCTGTTAGTCCCGTGATTATCAAAACTCAAGTCCCAATCCCGCGCGTTTAGTTCAGAGAAGTCCAATCCACCTCCCAATCTTGCCAACCAAACAAGGCTTATCATGCAGATTTTAACTTTCTCAAATGCCCCAGATTCCACGCAAGTTTAGATGATAATTATACGTTTTTCAGTAGTGTTTTTATTTGGTCACATCAGATTATTTGACATTTTTAAGATCTTAATTATCGAATTCTACGTATTTATTAATTTTTAATCCTTCCATCACTACTTGTTCTTCGTTCGAGAATGACAAGGATTGCCAAAATTGCATAATTACGTGCGAAAAACGAAAAATATTAATGCAAATCTAAGTTAGTGTGTGTTTTTTTTAGGTTAATGCATTTTATGAAGTATGCATGTGACAATTATTACGTAAAGCTTGTCATATGTTGTTATTTATGACATTTACAAATTAAAATATATATATATGTATATATATATAATTTAATAAATGTAAATTATTCATCATTTTCTCTTTTTAATTTGGGATGTTCACAAAAAAATGCAAAGGAAGTATTTAATTTTTATTATATATTATAATATATTTATATTGAATATTATAATAGTGAAGACACATAATACATATATAAGGTTTTATTTTTGACGAAATTCATGTATAAGCCAGCTTACAGCACCCAAAACCTAAGCCCAAAACTTTACAACCTGGTAATCTCGTTGTGAGTAGTTGTCGGATTTACCTTTGAACCAAAGTTCAATTCTTTAAGTCTTTTACGTTTAATACAGGCAGGCCTTTCAATTAAATAAATAAATAGAGAGAGCTAAGTGAGTAGGTGGCTACTTGATTGCAAAGTGTTGTTTCATTTTTGAATTTTTTCACCCAATAAAAAATATTAAAATTTTGTAATGACGTTTTTTTTAAACAAAAAAAGACTAAAAAAATTTGTCCCAAGCAAGGCTAAATAAAAATGGTGAGCCAAAATTACATATTTTCACGTAGTCATGCAATAAATAAATAAATAAATAAATAATAATTCATTAACAAAAATAATCTAAATAACCCAAAAGAATTATGCAAAAATCAGCCCAACCAAAGTCTACCCTTAATCTAACCAAAAATAAAGGCATAATCTAACTAAAAATAAAAGCAATTCACAGTCAACTCCTGTAGAAATTTGCCAGTTGTTATTATGACATACACAAAATGCAAGCCATCCAACATAAAATTATTATTATTATATTTATTAAATCAATAGTAGTATTAATATTTATTACAATTTAATAAATGATAGCTTTGTTGACTTATTAAATTAATATTTAATATCAAATAAATATATAGTTAGGAGATCACGGTTTAGACACAACAACCATGTTTATACTGTCTGTTTATTTCTAGATAAGTGCTTATTCAGTTGGAAAGTATTATTATTAACTTTATTAACTATATATAGGTGAGACAACCATAGTAGTTTTTCATCAAGTGAGTACTTAGGTGTCAAACACGATTGTCTAAGTTACCTAATCTCACCGCGTGAGAGGAAGAAGTCTTCCGAGACCACCATTTACAAAGGCAAGGACACTAGACTGCCAGTTGGCAAGATTTTGTGACGTTTTAAAGGTTGTTTTTTTAGTACTTTAAAAAATCTTATGTGCGAATTAAAAAATAAGTATTTTTAATAATTTTTCTTTTTCTAATAGTGTGCTTTATTTGAGTATTCAAAAAATATTTAAAAAAATAATAAGATAAGAACCTAAAAAAGTCTAAAAACATTAATAAAAACTAATGCTCGACAAATATTTTATTTTTTAATTTTTTTTTATTTATGTTAAACCAAATGGTTTGAAAAATTAAAATTCAAAAACTAAAAAAGGCAACTTTTTTTTTTTTTTTGTAGAACAAACACGCCATAGGCGGTGGCGAGCTTTCTAAAATAAGTTTCTAGCTTCTCTTAAAAAAAAAAAAAAAAAAAAAAAAAAAAAAAAAAAAACCCAATATCTTACTTGTGCAGTGAACCCTCACTAGGTTTTCAGCCCTACGACTGCGAAAGATTAGGGTGTGTTTGGTGGAGGTTTACTTCGGTACAGAATTTTCAACGGTAAACAGTGGAAAGGCAAGCATTGTTCTCATTAGGGTTTCTTGATGTCAGAATACTTTCCATTTTTTTATTTCAGTAATAATTATTTAATTATATAAGTATTTTAAATTCTGAAAAACCAAACAATTTTGTAGTTAAATTATATGTTAAAAGACACCGACGGAGACAGCCCATGTTAAATGGAAGGACCCAAAACCGCATTGCTCACTAAAATCCATGTTGCAGAACCACCACGTGGAGACCCAGTCTACGCTTCAGCTATATTCCACCGCAGAGATTTATATACGTATACAAAGAGTGAGAAAAACGAAGAGTGTCACGTGTCTTTTTATACATATAAATTTATACGTATATATACGTATAAATTTAAATGTATAGAGAGAGAATATCTGATTGACAAGGAAAAGAAAAGCTGCAAGAAGGCAGAAGTTGTAAAGAACTGTGGCTTGGGGAAGAGGTTGAGGAGAGGGGAGTGGGTGGTAGGGACCCATGGCACTCCCGCAAGACTCGCGCTCCTCTGCACAGGTTGGGGTGAGGGACATCTGACCCCGGGGGGGTGGGTGTGGATTTATTTTTTTATTTTGATTTTTTTGGCAGTGTTTTCTTTAAATTAATTTATTAATTTCCAGGAGAGGACTGATGAGGGATTGGACGTTTGCTGTGAAACTGGGCTTCGACTTCGGTTCTGGCAAATCACAAACGCCATGTTCAGTTGTCTAGTCAGCGGGTCCACGGCGATTCTCAAATCCCCAATTAATTAATACTATTTATAGTTTTTAAAACTATTTAATTTTTTAAAAATATTATTCCTTCCACTTGTATTTCAAATCAAATGTTCATTTTGACATTTAATTAAAATATTTAATTATATGTCAATGATTGGGGTTTATAAAAATATTAATGATAATTTTTGTTATAATAAATACTTTAATTCAAATAAATATTTGTTTATTGAATTGATGTCAAATAAATAATAAAATATTTTTATATTTATAAAGAAAAATTAGATTTGGACGTATAAAAACATACTTTTTTAAAAATCCACTTCTCTAAATAAATTGTAAAATATTTTTATGCTTATAAACAATAATCGGATTTGAATATATAAAAATTTACTTTTCTAAATAAGCTACAGTACATTTTAATATTATAAAAAAAAAATTAAATTTAAATTAATAAAAATTTATTTTTAAAAAAATATTTATAATATTTTAAAT